GTTCTCACAGATGAAGACATTGATCCCTGAAGAGGTGAAGTGACATACTCAAGTCACATGCCAGCTGGCAGGAGAGCTGGGCCTCAAACCCAGTATGCAGACTCTTAAGCCAGCGCCCGTTTTCCTGCTGCACAGTGTCACTCCATCAGAACCTGCGGATTGAGGCCACACGGTGTTCCTGGGCCTGGTGCCAGGTCTGGGGGTCACAGTGGTGAGCCCAAACAGGCCGTGGAACCTACTGTCCTCATAGGGAGTCAGCTAAATAGTGACACAAGTGCCTTTACCCTGATCCCCTGCCCTGAGCAGGCATAGGCTACCAGAGGATGTGGCGGGGGACTGAAACCAGATCCAAAGGTGAGCAGGAATTAGCAGTGCTGGTTGGGGGTTGGGGACAGGCCAGGGGAGCATGGCCAGACCAAGGGATCAGAAAGGTCAGTGTGGCTACATCTGGGAGCCGTATGCATACGCCACGGTGCCATCCAATGATGAAACCAGCAGGAATTCCAGGAACCTGGATCAGTCGTTTCGTGGGAGTGCTGTCAGGTTAGATGATGCGATATCTGTGAAAATGCCCAGCACAGTGCCTTGCCCAGAGCAGGCATAGCCAGGGCGAGTTTATCTGTATTTTGTAAGGCTACAGGCAGGGGTTCCAGACGACATGCCATCTGTTAATCTAGGAAGAGTGAAGACATGCCCAGATGTGAGAAAGAGGCGGCCGTGGCTGGCAAGAAGGAGCCCTTTGCTGGAACGGGCTCACTTTGGGACACGCTGCCCTACTGGAACGGTTGTACCCCTTCCTGTCACAGAGGACATTTAAACAGGAAAGAGCCAGACAATGGTGACCTCAGGGTTGCCTAAACAGACCCTTCCCTGATGCCAAGGGCAGAACTGTTCCCCGCCTCCAGCCGCCCTCCCCAGTCCCCATCAAACACAGTCCACACTCTGCTCCCCAGCAAACTATGTCGCATCTCAAAACTGCCTGGACGTGCCCCCGCCCCGGAGTGTGGAGTGCAATGCACCCCATTCAGCCAAGTGATAAAGTGTGGTAGCGGTTGTACAGGGCCTGGGAGAATCAAGCTAACTGTTGCCAAGGGCCTACACGGGAACCCAAATTCCCCAGTAATCCCTGAGGTTTTCCTTTGGTTGGTTTTCCTTTGACTTATCCTGAGGAAGTACCCTCTGATGCCTTGGGACAAAAGACCATGTGATGGCTGTGCTCACACAGGTGTTGAAACATCCTCCTCCCTCCACCCGCTCCTCCCCTCTGCCCGGTTCTGCTCGCACACAGGCTGGCCCAGGTCACTCCGGGTATCAGCAGCGCACTGCAGAGCCCAGAGGGGCCTGGGCAGCCTACTTGTTTATTTCAAAAGCAGCTTTTTTGAGATATAATTTACATACCATAAAATTAACCCATTTAAAGTACAATTCAGTACTTTGCAGTATAGTCATGGAGTTGTGCAACCATCATCATAATCTAATTTTTTTTTTTAATATTTTTTTTTTCCTTTTTCTCCCCAAAGCCCCCTGGTACATAGCTGTGTCTTAGTTGTGGGTCCTTCTAGTTGTGGCATGTGGGATGACACCTCAGCATGGCTTGACGAACGGTGCCATGTCCGCGCCCGGGATCCGAACCGGAGAAACCCTGGGCCACCGAAGCAGAGCATGCAAACTTAACGATTCGGCCACAGGGCCGGCCCCCACCATCATAATCTAATTTTAGAACATTTTTGTCATCCAGAAAGAAACCAGTCATTCTCCCAACCCCCAGCCCCAGCCCTAGGCAACCGCTAATCTACTTTCCATGGATATAGATCACCCTGTCCTGCTAACATTTCCTGTTAAATGGAATCATCTTTCTTTTAAATTTACTCCTAAGTATTATATTCTTTTTTGTGTATTGTAAATGGAATTCTTTTCTCACTTTCATTTTTGGATTGTTCGTTGCTAGTGCGTAAAACTATAGCCGATTTTTATATATTGATCTTGTATTCTATTATCTTGCTGAACTTGTTTTGGTAGTTTTTTATTGTATTCCTGAGGATTTTCTGTGTGTGAGACAGTCTCATCTGCAAATAGTAGTATTTTCACTTCTTTTCCAGTCTGTATGCCTTTTTTTCCTTGACTAATTGCTCTGGTTAGAGCTTCCAGTGTGGTATTGAACAAAAGTGGAGAGAGTTGCCATCCCTCTTTTCACCTTAGGGGGAAAGCATTGTCTTTCACCAGCAAATATGATGTAAGCTAGGAGTACGTGCATAGGGGGTCCTAACCCCAACCAGGGCTCAGGGGCTTCCGTGAAGAAAGGTAGGAAGGGGCCAGTGTGGCCCGTGGCAGGACGTGAGGCTGAGCACCAACAGGGGCCACACCTGGCAGGGACTTTGCAGGCCCCAGGAAGGGTTTTGGTCTATTTCCCAAGAGCAGAGAGAGGCTGTTAGAATGATTTTCAGTGGAAGGTGAGGTAAACTAATAAACCCCGAGCTGCGGTAATGTTCGGGGAGCCGAGATAGGAAGCAGCTGGCAAGAAAGACATGACGGAAGAACTGGGAGGGCTCAGTCAAAGCTGGAGGCGGATGGGCAGAGGAGCCAGGGAGGTGACTCCCGGGATGGCTGCAGGGAGGATAGTCCCACCTTTCATGGGGTCACCTGTCTTTGCCTCCCCACTAAGAGGCCCCCTGCTTGGGGAATGTACCTAAGTCCCAAGACTCCTCCTCCAGATGCCTCATCAATCTGGACTAATGGTAGGTTTTTCCCCTGGACATAGAGAGGCCAACTCTCCATCTGCGAGTATTTGGGGAGTGTGTGTGTGTGGGGGGGGCACATGTGCGCATATATGCACGTTCCCTCCCAGCCCTGCTCCCTGGGGCTGCCAGGTGGAGGCTTTCCTCCCTCCCGCGGTGCTGTAATGTGCCCCCGCCCCGTTCCGTGTTGCTGGGAAATCAGATGACTTCTAGTATCAGGCTAATGGCTCTTACTAACCAAAGGCTGACACATCCCTAATATATAGGTTGCTTAATTAAAAGCCTGCTCGCCTGGCCAGCTTTCAGAGAAGCAAGCACTTCTCAAGCAGGGAATGGGAATTTCCAATAGACTCGGGAGGAAATGAAGTCACGCTAACCATCTAAGAGATGCTTTTCCTCTACAATAAAAGAAAAGGGCTTGCTGGGGGTGGGAAGGTGGGCTCCATTCTGAGAAGAATGGAGCTTGGGGTTTGTTCCTTCCCACACTGGGAGCCCCAGGCAGCACCCAAGGAACCCTGTTCCTGCCAGGGATAGTCCTACCACCCAGCTGGCAGCCAGGACCCCTCCCCCATAGCCTTCCTCTCGTAATCTGACTTGCTCATCAGCACCCAGCTAGCATCTGTTATCACAGCACCTCAGCAAGGACAGAGGGCTCTGGCCTCTTGAGAGCACAGCTCAAAACTGGGTGTGCTTTTTCCTTCCAGAACGCCGACCCTCCCCCATCCCACAGGTGTTAACAGACCCCACCAGACCTAACAGCCAGCCCCACCATGTTGAGTTCAGCCCAACCCCTCTTAGAGGAAATCTTAAGTTTCTTTTATAAGCAAATGAATGTAGGCTTTACTTTAATTTGTCCTTATGCAAAGTGGAGAAAAAATGTTTTCTATATCTCTATTTCCTTTTTTTCTAAATGTTTTTTATGAGCATATTTAATAAATAGCTGTTTCCGATAGAAGTTGAAAGATCTCACTAAATAGGAACAAGCTATAGTTATGTGCCTTTGAGACAACATGAATGGTGAGTGGAGACAGTACAGTATGTAGGAAGAATACATTCAAAGCTAGAAGCCCTGGTTTAGGGTTCTGGTGCTGGAGAGATTTTCGACGATCACGACCAGGGGGAGGAAGGGATACCGGCATCCAGTGGGTAGAGACCAGGGCTGTTGCTAAACACTCTACAGTGCACAGGACAGCCCCCCAACACAGAATTATCTGCCCAACGTGTCAATAGCGCCGATGTAGAGAAACTGCTCTGAATAAACTCTTTCATAAGAACATTCACAGGGGACTGGCCTGGTGGCACAGCGGTTAAGTTTGCACACTCTACTTTGGTGGCCTGGGGTTCGCCGGTTCAGATCCCAGGCATGGACCCATACACTGCTTATTGGGCCGTGCTGTGGTAGGCATCCCACATATAAAGTCGAGGAAGACGGGCAAAGATGTTAGTTCAGGGCCAATCTTCCTCAGCAAAAAAAGAGGAGGATTGGCGGTGGATGTTACTCAAGGCTAATCTTCCTCAAAAAAAAAAAAAAATTTCACAGGAGCATTTTTGTGTAAGAAAACTGCAGTTATCCTGAATGACCATCAACAGTGGACTAGAGGAGTAAATTGTGACATATTCATGCAATGGAACAGTATAAAGCAACAAGAATGAAGGAGCTACAATGACGTGTGTCAACAGGGTACCTCTCAAAAATGGACTGAGCCATAGTAGGATGTGATTCCTTTTATACAGTAAAAAAAAGAGGAGAAGTACATGTGCTGTTTAGGGATACTTCTGTGTGTGGTAAAACTGCAAAGAAAAGCAGAATTATTGATAGGAAACGCAGAGTAGTTGTTAACTCTGGGAGGGGTTGCCGTTGAAGAGAGGCTCCCGCAGGCTTCCAGGGCACTGGCCAAAATTCTGTTCTAAAGTTGGGGGAGGGTGATAGAGTCGTGACTATTTGTCTTATTGTCCTTTAGATGTATAAATATGCTTTATAAACTTTTGTATGAATATGTGTCTTTCCCACATTTCCTTCCATGCTAGGGACGGAGTAACAGCAGCTAATGTTTATGAAAACCTAACGATGTGCTTTTGCAACGACCTTGTCAGCGAGGGCGTTTTATTCTCAGAGAAGGTTTAGGGAGTGACACAGCCTTCTAAGGGTAGAGCTGGGGTTGGACTCAAGCAGGCCAGTGCCGGCCCCATGCTCCAGGCCACCACACAGTGCTGCTGTGTCTCCTCTTGGGTCCCATCTCTCACCTGCCTCCGCTCTCTCCACAGGGTCCGGAGACAAACGACCAGTCGGCCTCCCCCAGCAGGGGGCAGACCCAAACCCCAGCCCAAGCCTAAGCCTCAGGTGCCACAGTGCAAGGCTCTGTATGCCTATGATGCTCAGGACACAGACGAACTCAGCTTCAATGCCAATGACATTATCGATATTATCAAAGAAGGTAAGTGCGTGAGTGGCTGGCTGGGCAGGATTGCCTCCCAAAGAGCATGTAGTCACATTGCTATAAAAACTAGTTTAAATATGAAGGGAATTTATGGGCTCTTCTAACTGAAACTTGCAGAGGTAGGTCAGGCTTTAGGCTCGGTTTGATCAAGACTCCAGCTTCATTTTTTTTTTTAAAGATTTTATTTTTTTTCCTTTTTCTCCCCAAAGCCCCCCAGCACAAATTTGTATATTCTTCGTTGTGTGTCCTTCTAGTTGTGGCATGTGGAATGCTGCCTCAGTGTGGTTTGATGAGCAGTGCCATGTCCGCGCCCAGGATTCGAACCAATGAAACACTGGGCAGCCTGCAGCAGAGCTCGCGAACTTAACCTCTCAGCCACGGGGCCAGCCCCCTCCAGCTTCATTTTTTTAATGCTTCTTTCAGCTCTGCCCTTTTCTTTGTATTTGCTCCCTTCTCAGGCTATTTTCCTCATGGTAGCAAAATGGCTGCATCAGCCAATAGATCAAACCATGTTGGAAATCTGCTTTATCTCTGACACTTCTCTCAGCCATTGGACAAAAGTCCTAGGTTTCACTCTGATTGAACCAAATTGGTCATGTGCCCATCTCTGAACCAATCTCTGTGGCAAGACAAAGGCTGTACCCTGTGTCGGGTAGGCCTGATGGGGTCTGCCCTAGGAAACGGGTCTATCCCACCCAAACCTCATGGCCACCTCATAATTAAGGTAGATGGAATGCAAGCCAGGGAGGCAACCCAAAGCATCCATTCTAAAAGTGGCCTGTGGGCTTGGCGTAATGCTTTACTAATTGGGTAGAGAAGATAAGTTAGAATATCGTATACCTATAGTCAAACATTAGTGTTTATGGAAGCATAAAAAACAAAGGTAACTCCTGACTTAGGATGCTAGAAAAAGCACCATGAAGGAAATGACATTTGTGCTGAGGGATGGGGAGAGAGACGGAGAGAGAAGCCATGGAGGCTAGAAAGAGCAGGTCGTTTTAGGAAGATGAGCTGATGCTTGACCACGGTGCAGCAGCCCCAGGGAGATGTCCTGGGAGATGAGATAAGCTAGGAGCGGCCTGAATGTCAGGCTCAAGAGAACTTGTGAAGACAGTATGGAGCCCTCCGAGGTTTGTGAGCAGAGCAAGGCCAACCTGAGTGGGCAGTGCTCCTTGGCGAGTTTAGCTTTCAGGAAGAGGTGGCCAAGGACAGCTCAGGAACCATGCTTTAAGAAGTTCCTTCATCACATGAGCTCACTCTAGGTCCCTGGACCAACTCCCTTCTAAACAGCCTCTGGGCATTATTTTTATCTCTTTTAACCATCTAGTTTTCTACAGGTTTTAATATTTTAAGCCATTTAGTATCCTTCTTTAGAAGTGTCAGAATGAAAATAAGCATTGAAATAAACTCTTAGTAAACACAAACAGGATTTTTCTCACCAGCTTTGTTCAGCAAAAATTTTGGAAATGACCTAATATCCCATAACAGGGATTTGTTAAATAAGCTTTGCTGTATCCATTCAGTGAACTTGGATGCAAAAATTGTTTTATTAAAGATAATGATGTAAAAGTACAGTATATTTATTGAAATGGAAAAATGTTTGTGGAAAAAGTTTATAGACTGGACTATAGCCTCATTTTTGTAAAGATATATAAAATGCATATGGCTATTTGTGTGTATGCCTATATTTTCATGTATATGTTAGAAAATGTTAAAGTGGTCTCCTTAAGTGTTGAATTTTAAGTGAGTATTATTTTCTTTTTATTTCTCAGTATTTTCAAATTTTTTTAGAAATAATGTGTATTGAGTATAACTAAAACAATTAGAAGTTATCAAAACGTGATGTTATCACTGTAATTTACACAGTGTGGTGTGAGCGCAGGAATAGATATCCATTTGTGTAAATGGGATAGAATAGAATCCAGAAACAGTCACGTGTCTATAGGTATATAATATATGATAAATGTGGCATCTGACATCAGGGGAAAGCATAGACAATTACTTTCCATTTTGGAAATAAAGTTAGATCTCCACCTCATACACAAAATAAATATCAGATGAATTAGAGATCTAAAAATCTATCACTATATTATAAAAGTCTTACAAGGAACCTTAGAATATTATATTAATCTTTCAGTGGCAAAAGTGTCTCTAGGAGACATAAACGATACAGGATTTAACCTCATAAAAAGGCTGAATTAAAACCGTCTGTATGGTAAACAGCACCAGAAGCAAAGTTAAATTATAGAAAACAGACTAGGAAAAAACATTCTATGCCTCCTAATAGCTCCTCCACCTGAATAATGAGACAAACGGTCCCGTCCAGAAGTGGATGAGGGCTCTTGAGGCAACGCACACCAGAGCCTCTCGAATCGTCGGTGGAATCAGAGCAGAACATCTCGCCTCTGGTTAAAGTATGTACGGTCCACATCCCCTTGTCCACATCCTTAGAGCTAACTAAGTGCCAGATATCAGAGATGGGAGCCTTTAGAAAGCTAATAAAGGTGTGTGTGTATATATATTGTATCGTATCATATCATATATTATATCGTTGTGTTATATTATATTATAATTATATTATATACCCCCCTTGTGGGCCCCAGGGCAACACATAGATCAGACTCAGTTTTTCTGCCGTGAGACATGAGCATTCATACTCCAGGAAGAGGTGTCACAAACAAACTCACGTCAGTTCAGGCCAAATTTTGCCATCAAATGAGTTACAGAAAACTTTTAATTTTCAGAACTTTCTGGATTTTTTCATCACAAATGAAGCGTGGCCTGTAATATCTGTCATCACTCAGAGAAATAGGTTCCTTCTTTCACTGTTTACTCCTAGGATAGACTTTTGGGGAGGAAATTTAACAGTATTTATCAAAATTTTAAAATCCCCCTGTCAAAAAGATTGCTTTGAATTTATATTTAACCCCTTCCACCAAGATAAATTCCAAATAAATAAATATTTAAATGTATAAAATAGACGTCAAAGCCCTAGAGGTAATTATGGGAGTGTTTTCTTTTTTTACAACATCATTATGGGAAAGGATTTCTAAAAATGGGAAAAAACCAAGAAGCTGTAAAATAAGAGATCATTTGATTCTAATACTTAAATTTTAAAACATAAAAAATTAATAAAAATGGGAGGAGGGATATTTGCAACTCACAAGACAAATTCACTAAGATATATGAACAACTTGTAATCAACAAGATAAAGACCAACATCCGATAGAAAAATAGGCAAATGCTGTGAACAGGAATACATGGAGCTGTCGAAGAGAATATGGAAGCTCTTTATACACTGATATGAAAGGACCTATAGCGTATATTATTAGGGTTAAGAAGTGCAGAACATGTAATATACATAGTATGCTATTTGTGTACAAAAGGGGGTAATTTTTTTTTAACTTTCTGTTGAGATTATGATAGTTTACAACCTTGTGAAATTTCAGTTGTACATTATTGTCTGTCCGTCGTGTTGTAGGTGCGCCCCTGCACCCTTTGCGCCCACCCCCAACTTCCCCTTCCCCCTGGTAACCACTAATCGGTTCTCTTTGTCTACATGTTTAACTTCCGCCTATGAGTGGAGTCATACAGAGATTGTCTTTCTCTGTCTGGCTTATTTCACTAACATAATACCCTCAACGTCCATCCATGTTGTTGTGAGTGGGACGATTTTATCCCAAAAGGGGGTAATTTTTATAAATACTTTTATATCCGTGAACTACCTCTGCAAGAAAGTACAAGAAGTCGGTGATGTTGCTCGCCCTCAGAGAAGGGGTTGGGTGGCTGTGCTCCCTGATCATCATTTTGTACTTTGGGAAGTACTGCACATATGAAAGTATTACCTATTACAAAAAATAAATTATATTTTCTTACAAAGGGTAATAGAAGGTCCATATTCTTTGACCGAGAAACCCATCCCAGAGAACTACTTGCACATGAGCATGAAGATCTGTGTATGAACGTTTATTGCATTAATAGTGACAAATTGGGAACAAATGTCCATCAGTAAGGGAATGGTTATGTAAATTTTGGTATACAGTGCAGCTGTTTAAAAAATGGGATACAGACATGGAAAGAGTATATCCATTAATACTGAAAAGCAAGATGCAGAATAGTAAGATATAGGATGGCCTGTTTCTGTTTAAAATGAATACATGTGTGTATGTTAATAATCACTGGAAAAGGTCTGGAAGAATCTATACCAAATTCTTATTGCCGGTGAAGGGTCTGGGATTAAGATGGGAAGGAAGGATTATGAAGTGGTGCAGACAGGTTCTCCCAGAAGCAGGGGCTGAGGTGGCGTGGGGAATGTGGGGGGTGCGGGGGGTGGGGGGTGGGTAGCACCTGTGAAGGGAAAGGGGAGGAAGCCGGATTGGGTGCCATCAGACCACAGCGCCAGCCCACAGGCTGCCAGCCCAGCAGGGGCTCCAGAGCAAGGCCTGCTTGTTGGGGAGGCTGAAACGCCCATGCCTGGCTCAGGCAGTGGCCCGAGGCTGCCCCAGAGGATCAGTGGCCTCATCTCAGAGGCTGGGCTGCCCTAAAGGGTGGCCAGCTGAGGACTGTCAGCAAAACCCCTCTGGTGGCAGGTTCTTCCTTGATGGGGACCCTGAGTGGCACATCTGTGTGTCTGCCATGGGGGAGGGGTTACTTTTTACAAGATACTTTTTCATTGAAAACAAAAGAAAATAAAGAAGGAAAAAAAGAACGTGGATGGAGCCAAGTCAGCACTGCCCGTTTGATGCACCCATGTTAGTTGGGTGTGTGTGGCCCGGGCAGAACGGCCTTGCCCGGCTTCACGCTCACCGTCTCTGTCTCCCCGCAGATCCTTCTGGCTGGTGGACGGGTCGACTACGAGGCAAGCAGGGCCTGTTCCCTAACAACTATGTGACCAAGATCTGAGGCGCACAGAGACTCTGACGCACGGGGCGAAGGAGCTCCAGGCACAGACAGGGGAGGGGACATTTGGGGCTCTCCTTCTGATCCATAGTGAGCAATTGCTTCTGCAAGACCTGGAGTTATTCTGGCGCCTTCCCCATGGAGGACATCAGAAAGCTGCGTTGGGGACAAGGGAGTGTCGCTCCATAAATTATCCTAAAAGGTAGCCTATTCATAGGAACCCAGGAAGACAAAACAACCACCCCCTAAGATTTATTTATTGTATTTAACCCTGGCGAGAGGACAGGCAAGGTCTCCTCAGACCTCGTTGGCTCTGTCAAAACAGTAACCTGCTCGCTCACCAGGTCCAGGGAATGGCTGTAGGTGGCCGCTGACAAGTGCCTTGAGTTGAAGAGCACATCTCTTGCATCCCTCTTTTCTTTACCTGACACACACATTCCTCTCTGCCACCTTCCCTCGGGGTGGACCTGCTCTCTGCAGGCTGGGCTTGGCATGAGTGGGCACTTCCAGCGCAGACGCCCAGGGTGGGCGTGGCCTGCAGAGCCCACAGGTGCAAAGGGCCCTGGTTGACACTTTGCCGGGACCATCAGGGCTGCGGGGCTGGGCGGGGGCGGGGGCTGGGGCTGGGCTGTCAGCCTTGCTTTCTCTGGGTCTTCGGTTGGAATGTGGCTGGCCCATGTTGGTTTTGTGTTTAATGCTGTACCTATTACGAGAAGGATCTCTTTTTTCCAAGCTGTACATTTATAAAAACAGATCATATACTGTATATATAAAAATCTTGAGATGGTAGAAACATGTATGAATGTACTAAGTAGTAGTCCACTGTACTTATTCATAAGGTAGGTTTTATTACAGAACTTGCACCAGGTACTTACAAACGTGCACTTCTCCTTTTCAGCTCTAGAATCAGTGTTCCTGCTTTCTAGCTCGGTCCCTGCCAACCCTTCCCAACCCTCTTTCCCGCTAGGTAATTTTCCTCTGCCCCCCCCCCCCCAACCCCACCCCGTGTCCCTCCCCCAACCTCCTAAATAAATAAAGGAACCAGTGAACCACCTTGTTCTTTTGTGACATTTGTTATGGGTTGAATTGTGTCCCCCGCCAAAAGATGTGTTGCAGTCGTAACCCCCAGTGCTTCAGAATGTGACCTTATTTAGAAATAGGGTCATTGCAGAGGTAATCAAATTAAAACGAAATCATTAGGATGGGCCCTCAGCTAGTATAACTGGTGTCCTGACAAAAAGGGGACATTTGGATACAGATCGACATGCAGAGAGGGAAGATGACGTGAAGAGTCAGCCATCTTCACGCCAAGGAGAGGGCCCTGGAACAGGTCCTCCGTCACAGCCCTCAGGAGGAACCAAGACGCCTGGCACCTGCATCTCGGACTTCCAGCCTCCACAATTGTAGGAATAAATTTCTGTTGTTAAGCCACCCAGTTTGTGATACTTTGTTAAGACAGACCTAGCAAACCAACACAATGTTTAGCGCAGTAATCGTGACAAGTTGGAAACAATGTAATGTCCATCAGTAAGGGGATGGTCATGGGGAGACTGTCACTTCTCTACCTCTCCTTCTCCCAGTTGCCACAGCCATTCTTAAGCTATCGGGAAAGTAGGGTCTGACTGGCACACACCTTCTTGTCATTTCAGGATCCCCAGGTCCATGGGAAAAAATGATCAGGGGTTATGTATAAGTGAAAGAATGTATGTGAATTTGGAACAAAGTAAACCATTTAATTCTGTTTTACTTCAAGAATACAGAGCAAACTTCATTCAGCAACAATAACAAATAATGTTTAAAGTATATTTTAGCTCATTTTGTGACCAAATAAGAGAGTGAGGAAAATAAAGCCATAATGTGATGACACGAGGAAAGGCAATCTTGTTGACACATAGTCTATATTTTACAAAAGACTTTCATATTTCTGGACTCACGGAAAGTGGGAGGAAGGAGAGAACTGGATTTCAAACCAAGGGGCATCATGGGCTCCCCCACAGCCTCAATGCACAGGCTGCTCTCATGGGCAGCAACACCAAGATTACCTTCCAGTGGTACCGTACACCCCTGGCTGGCTGGGACAAGCTTTTGTTTTTCCTCTGAAAAATCAGTCCTGGGATAAAAGAAACATGACTTTAAAAGAATTTGTGCCTGACAGGACAATCAGGAATAAGCACAGGTTCTTTTGAAAAGGGCTATCTCAGGGCCAGCCCGGTGGCACAGCAGTTAAGTGTGCACGTTCTGCTTCAGCGGCCCGGGATTTGCTGGTTCAAATCCCAGGTGTGGACGTGGCACCGCTTGGCAAGCCATGCTGTGGTAGGCATCCCACATATAAAGCAGAGGAAGATGGGCATGGATGTTAGCTCAGGGCCAGTCTTCCTCAGTAAAAAGAGGAGAACTGGCAGTTGTTAGCTCAGGGCTAATCTTCCTCAAAAACAAACAAATAAATAATTTTCCCTAATGTTATATATCAAAACAAAACAAAACAAACACTCATGGGGCAGCGGGTGGAATCAGTCCTGGCTGCTGTTAATTTAATGATTGGCCTTGTAAACTTGTGTGTAACTGGGCCCCATCAGGCTCTGGGTGACAAAGCAAGAAGTGAGTTCAACATCCCCACAAGCAGCGGGAAGACCCCTCCGTGGGGATCACAGAGCAAGCGCCCATCCCTGTACCCACGTGCCTCATCCAGTGCCAGGCTCAGCATGGGTGCCTCGACCGATGTGGCGAGAATAGGGGAGTGAATCCATGTTTATAGGTGAGGAAGACTAAAGTCCTTAACCTAGGCTTCCTCTAGTCTGGAGCTGGTCAGGCCTGCCGTTTGGCTCACTGTTGAGTTGAACAAAAGTGCAGTTCAAGAGTCACTTAACCTGGGAGAACATAAAGAGGATCAGGGGGCCATCCCTGCCTTCTAGAGCGTGACACCACATGTGTGTTGTCGCAGTGGAATGTGCAGTGTGACGATGTGACAGATCCTTCAACCGAAGTTTGAACGTAACTGTGAACCAAGCGAGCAGGTTTGAACGTGGACCCTGGGGCTGAGGTGGTCAAACCAGTAGGAAACTGGCAGTCTGGCCTCAGAATCCCTTTAGACTCTTCAGTATTATTGAGGATCCTGAAGAGTTCTGCTTTTGTTGGTTGTAGCTATCAGCATTGACCGTATTCGAAAATCAAACTGAGAAAAATTTAAAACATCAACATACACATTCCTCAACCACCAAAGTGAGGATGTGTCATGGAACCTCTAAAAGATTCACCTTAGACCACTGACAGTGTGAAAAAAAGCAAATAACATCCTCGCATTATCATGAAAATAGTTTTGACCTCATGGACTTCTTGAAAGGGTCTCAGGGCCCCCGGGGGTGCCCGGGCCACATTTTGAGGACCACCAGAGGGTAAGTGCTAATAAGTATGGGGCGCAGCAGGGAGAGCAACTGGCTTTCTGAAAACATTCGGAAAGGCCGGCTCTTCCACAGCGCTTAGGGAAGAGGACTGATGCCCACGGAGAGGGCAAACGGGGAGGCCTTGTCTACGAGCTTGCTGCCCCACCAGCAGGAGCGCACACCACCCACAGCCCAACGTGTTGTCCCAGCCCATCTGGTCAGACGGGACCCGGCACCGTCACCAAGTCCAGCCCCAAGAAGGTGGAAAGGGGGTGAGGAGCACAGCTCCCTTTTAAAACTTTCTTTGCAAAGTGCACACACCACGTGCACTCATATTCTATTGGCCGGGATTTAGTGACGTGACCTCAACCGCAAGGATGGCTGGGAGTCTCTGCCCAGAGAGCAGCTTGCCCAGGGTGTCAGGGAGAGTGTCCTCCTCCTTCAGCCATGGCTTCTTCCAGGCCCAGTTGTTCACAAGAACAAGTGAGAGACAACACGACTGTACATCCATGCAACTACCATCTCCCCTGGTTTGCCACAGAGCGGGGCTTACATTATCCAAATTCTTTCTCCTCCTGCCTCCCTCGAAGTCCTCCCCGGACCTCCCCTGAGTGGAGCTGGCCCTGCCTCTGGTTGCTACTTCTTTTCCAGGTGGTTCTCTGGGTGGGTTCACTGGCAGGTGGGGGTAGAGTCCAGTTTCAGGAGTGGAGTGTGCACGGCACATCTGCTGGAGCGCCCAACCATGTTCCTGGCACCTCTCACTTTTGTGGTCAAAAAAGTAGGAGCCATTCCACAGTGTTGTCCCTTTGGCTCCTTGCTTTGTGTTCCCCCAAGGCCTGGCTAATCTTCACAGCTCTTTCTGAATTTGGGAACTCACTTTCACTCCTACCAGCTAATCTTGATGTCTTTCCCTCCTACTGTACTGTTCCTGCCCCCTCCAACCAATATGACCTCATCTAAAATCTCCACTTTGAAAATGAGAAGGCTCTGTCGGTTCACCCCCCTGCCCAAGGTCACACAGCTCTTAAGTAGAGGAGCCATTATTTGGACTCTGATGACCCATGACCCACACTTTTAATCTTTGTCTTCTATTCAACAAATATTAAGGAGTTTGATAGTCTGATTGTCAACCTTTAAACTTCCAATGTCTTTCTCTCAAAAATCAAAAACCTAAAAAAAGAAAAGAAAAACTCACAAATAGGACTCAACAGCTGTAAATTTGTAAACTGCGTTGATGGGCAAGAGATGCATCTAACATATCTTGGAACGCTGAGTTGTCTCTTTCCAAGACCACCAACCTCCCAAAAATTACAGCCACTAACGTTCGAGCACCTCCAGAAACCGTGTGAAAGGCTCGGCATACTTTCTGTAGCACAGCAGCACTGTGAGGTGGACACTCTTATCCCCGTCTTACAGACACACAGACACAGGTCACACAGCTGCCAAGCAGACTCAGACCCGTGCAACCCAGCTTCAGGGTCTGCGCTCTTCAAATACCGTGGTTACATCATCTCATTTCCTAATTTCAGTGTTTTTACAACATTATCCTTTCTACTTTTACAGCTTATTTCACATTTATTATATCACTTTATTCTGGGTGCCTTCTGTGGCACATAAGGAAGTTCTTAAAGATCTTTTATTTATGACATCCTGGAAGTAAGAATTCCCTGAGTCAGGGTATTTAATATTTAACTAAGCAAAATACATAATAAAGAAGCTATAAAATGTCTTTGGAAGATGCCTACAAACCATCCTTTCTTGCTGGAGCTCCAGCGTCCCTGGGAAGTAACCTTGCTTTTCAGAGCCAGGACAGCTAGCTCCCTGTCATGGTCTCGCTGCGTTCCCAAGTGACCTAAGGCAGTCTAAGCTGCCGTAAGAACACCTTCGCCAACTCGACAAGGGAGCTGTACCACTTTATACTAGGATGCCAACATCTACTCGGGTCCTCCAGATGCTCAAAACTTACAGACTCCCTCCTCAGGCAGCCCTGGCCGGCCCAGGCAAGGGGGCAAGGAGCAAGCCCCAGCGGAGCCAGGCGCTCCTCCGCGGCAGCCACAAGGCCCGGCTGAGTCACAGGCCCCTGAGGCCTTCGCTGTCGGCTGGCAGGCAGCTTTTATGGCACTCTAGGTTGGGGACATGCTGACTTAAATGAGTTCACTTCAAAGCTCCTCAGAACCTTTATGAATCTTACATGAGTTTTGTGATGTTTCCCAAATGTGTTTGACTAACTCCTCTCTCTCAAAAAACCAATTAAGATCTTGTTGAACTAATAGTTTGGGAAGTCATTGCTATAAGAGGCTCATTTACTTTATGAGGTTTGTTTTTAAGATAGTGATCGGAGACAGAGAATACATTCCACCTTAGAAAACCATGTTAAATGTGATCAAATGCCCACCACCACACAAAAAAAAAGGTAACCCGTAATGCAGTTGAAACAGCACAACAGGAAAACGCACTCCAAGTTTCAACTTCAACAGGATGTCACAGGCCCGTTTCCTTTTCCAGCTGTGGCCCCTTAGGACTGCTCTTCCAGCTCCCAACCGTGCCTTTGAGAGAGACACGTTATGAGGGTTACTTCCAGTGGCTATCGCCCTAGTGGTCAGGTGTTCCTGTATAGGAACTAAAGAATAGTTGGGGGGCCGGCCTGGTGGTGCAGGGGTTAAGTGCACACATTCTGCTTCGGTGGCCCGGGGTTCAGATCCCAGGTGTGGACATGGCACTGCTTGGCAAGCCATGCTGTGGTAGGCATCCCACATATAAAGTAGAGGAAGATGGGCACAGATGTTAGCTCAGGGCCAGTCTTCCTCAGCAAAAAGAGGAGGACTGGCTGCAGATGTTAGCTCAGGGCTAATCTTCCTCAACAAAAAAATTTTTTTTTTTTTAAATAGTTGGATAGGTTCTAGAAAGGGAATTGTCATGGCTATCCTCCCATTTTTTAAAATTTTTTTAAAGATTGGCACCTGAGCTAACATCTGCTGCCAATCTCCTTTTTTCCTTCTTCTCCCCAAAGCCCCCCAATGCATAGTTGTATATTCCAGCTGTATGTCCTTCTAGTTGTGGCATGTGGGACACCACCTCAGCGTGGCCTGATGAGTGGTATTGCGTCTGTGCCCAGGATCCAAACCAACGAAACCCTGGGCCGCTGAAGTGGAGCGTGCCAACTTGACCACTCGGCCATGGGGCTGGCCCCTATCCTCCTATTTTAAATTTTCATCATCAATCAATCTTTTTATATTCAAGAAGTTTAGGAATGGGTTAGCATTCACTGAAGCCAAGTTCTAGTTTTTTCCATTTGACAAAATAGCAGGGAGGGCTTTCCCAGAGCCATAACGGCAATGATTTATGTGCTATTCGTAAAAGCTCAAAAAGAAATTAGTCAAAGCAAGCTTCTCCTGACGTCTTCAGTGTAGACCACACAAATAAATACACACAGGATACCTTAAGAAAAATCAAGAGCTTTATTTTTCCTCACTATCTATTTAGAAAAGAGATTGGAGAAAAGGTTCCACGGAATAGAGCAGAGGGCTATCTACAAAGTCAAGTGTTCCAGATCCGCACAGACGGAGGAAGCTGTCCCGCAGAGGCCATGGCAGCCTAGGACCGGCCCAGCAGAGGTGAGGCCAGCTCCTGGACGGCTTTTGAGTTGAGCTGAGGAATGGTGCTGATCTTCAGGAGTTTGCTGCTTGCATACTTGCTCTTGACGGCCTGCAGAAGTCATCTCAGATTAAGCACACATCAGCCACCCCCCACCCACGCCTTGTTCCTGGGCTCACTGACAAGTATGAAAGGGCCAGACCCACAATCTCCAGACGGTAGGATGCTGCTGGATCACTGAAGCCAGCCAGTGCTCTGAGGTCATGTGTTGTGCATGGCGATTTCCTTCCACGCCTAGTAATGGACAGAGCCCAGCTGGTAGCATAGGTGAGGAGGGAACAAATTATTTCAAGGTCCAAGGAGCAGGCTTTCTCTCATCAGGCACCAGAGGGGAGGGAGATGGGAGCTGCTTATTATATGTAAGTGCCATCAGGACATGACAGCTTTGCCAGGAACGGCAGCAATACTGGCAATAAAAGTGCGTGGCAACCAGTGCTTGGCAGATCCCAGATGATACCCTCAGGACTGGAAACCCATTATGCTTCCACAGTGTGCTAAATCACGCTGAAACCCTACGGAAGGAGGCAGAGCAGGGTGAAGGGTACTTGGTACAGACACCTTGCCCTTTGTCCCAGACCCCTGGTCAGCTCTGATATTTGGCATCACCCAAGTGCAGGACAGCACCCGATCTCCTCTGGCTCCTCCTCTCAGGAGGCCCGCACAGAGCCAGACATCAGGCCCCCAGGACACTTCCCGATTGGGCTGCTTGCCCCTCCTTCTCCACCATGCTTGCTATTCAGGTGCCTTCCAGTCAGTGTCCCTAAAGATTCTGGACAAAGACCCTGAGAAATATCACCAGAATACCCAAGGCTTCCACAGGGCCATGGGAGGTGGGCCCTTGCTGTCCCAGACCTCATGTTGACCAGACCTTCCTGCTTGCCGAGTGCCCTACTGAGGATGCTGGGACACAAGTGGATAAAGACAGTGCGCAGCTGCCTGGCTGCTACCCAGGGCCTGGACATAGCCTATCTACCTTGTTTTAAAGAAAGTCTGCTCTCAGGGTATATCAGTATGCTCCATCCCCTGCTGCACTAGAAAAATAGAAAGAGTCTGTGCTAAGACAGACTCTCACATATACCAAAAATCTATTCACGTGAAAACAAACACGCATACATACGTGCACATACTCTCATACACAAAACTTGTCATCCAATGCCTTCCACAGCTTAGGAATGAGTACTCACGATGAATTTCGTTAAGTTTCCATTTACTTTCACTACATTTTTGGCCATGTGCTGCATGACTTCCAACACTTCATTTTCTGTGTATCCAGTGTAATACTGCTGCTTTAAGTTCTGGAACAAATACAAAGGAAAGGGGCAAGATGAACCTCCACTTCTCTGGAAGAGCACATCTTATACATGCTGGCACTACTTAAGGAAAAGCTACAGGAGAACATTCAGTCACAGCCCTAACCACCACCATGTACAGCAAAGCAGCCAGTAAAAGCAGGACGATGTGGCTCTGAGCAGGACTTCAGCTCCCAGCTAAAGCAAGTGTCAAAGGTCCCATGTGATTATCTTTTAAAGACAGTTGTGCAGGGAAGTGGGGTTCCACAATTAATAAAGCTCCCACGCATACCTCTATCGCTACACTGAAAGGGGATGGAAGGAGGACAGAGTGAAAACAAAACCCAACAAAAGAATGCTCCCTCTACGGTAAGAGCAGAGACCTGGCCCAGCACCTGTCACATGTCCCCCGATCAAAGCCCTGCCAGTCAGTGGCTGGGGGAGAGCTCGAGAACCCCGGTATCAGTATCGTCAGCCAGGGAAAGAGGTTCAGAATTAAGAAAGAAACTGGGCCATAGGCAGCTATCTAATCTACCAGTCCAGAAGCACTAAGACCACCCCAGACTCCCTCGTTGGGCCCTACACAGCTAAGCCCTGAAGAAGAGAGCACGCGGCGCAGCCGCCACGCCAGCCTGTGACCCAGCCGCCCGGAGACCAAAGTCAAGCAAAAGGACAGTTGCTGACTGATAATAAGGCTTATTGTGCATGAAGACACATACCCTGACTTTATTTCAGTTCTGTGATAACATTCTAAAAGCAAAGATACATCTCTTTCACATGCACAATATGATGGGAAAACAAACCACAATTTAATCTTAATCCTAAAATCGTTCAAAGAAAGAAAGAACTAAGCAGGAGTGAATCCTGAAATAACACACAACTACTGGTAACTTGAAATCAGTTCCCAGAAAACAGGGAGACCTATAGTTAATTGCTTTAGAGCCCAAGGAAGCGTGTCTAAGAGTGAAGTAATTTGGCTAAAATGAGCATTGGTACCAGGACCATGTACCATTCACGTACCAGTGGCTTTTTGGCCTCAAGCTATTTATTTAAAAAATTTCAAATCTACAGAAAAATTCAAAGAATAATATAATGAACATCTGGATATCCTTTGTGTAGATTCATCAATTATTAACATTTTGCCACTTTCTCTCTCTCATGGTGTCTGCAACACACTTGCAAATGGTTCAGGAAAAATTGTGTGTGAATATATATATCTTCATGACACATTGACACATCACTTCTAAATGTTTCAGAAGCGTTTAGATACCTAAACACCTAAAAAGTATTTTCCTACATAGCCACAAAATACCATTATCACATAAGAAACATTATCAACAATTCCATAATATCACCTAATGTATAGTCAATACTCAAATTTCTCCAATTGTTCCAAAAATATCTTTTATAGATTTTTCTTTAGGTCTAGGGTCCAATCAAGGTACATGCAGTACATTTGGTTGTTGTGTCTTTAGTCTTTTTTAATTTAAAACAACTCCCATTTTCTTAGCTTTAAATGACAGTGACTTTTTTGAAGGATTCACGCCAGTCACTTTTGGAATGCCCCATACTGTGGATTTGTCTGAGTGTCTCCTGATGATTGGATTTGTGTTAAATGTCTTGGCCACAAATCCTGTGCAGGTGATACTGTATTCTTCCTCCTGCACCAGGAGGCAGGTCAAATCAGGGGGTCCCACCACTGGCGACGTCGAGCTTGATCACCGGGTCAAGGTGCTAAGGGCCAGATGTCTCCACAAAAGCACAGTTTTTCTTCAGAATTACTGTTTGTGTGTGCGGATATTTTGAGACCATGGGAATCTTGTTCCCCAAAATTATGTCACCTAATGATATAAACATCAATTGATGATCCTCGCTTGAATCAATTATTAGATTGGGGATTAAAAATTGGTGGATTTCTAACTCTACAATTTTTTCTACTTCAATTAGCTAGCATTCTAACTGATTAAAAAAAGGGAAAAAAAGTCTTTCATTCCTTTCTTGTCTTTTCCCTTTCTTTCTTTTGTATCATTAAGGACTCATGGATGTTTTTTAATGTGTTATAATCTATTACTGCCACTATTCTTCGTAATGCTCAAATTTAGTCAGTAAGAGCTCTCAAGTCAGTTCCTATGTCCTTTTGATGTGACCCACTGATCTTTGAGAATTTGCTTGTTATCTGCTACAAACTGATCCAGGCTCACCTTATAGTGCCCATGCCACGGCCCTGAAATCAGCTATTTCTCAAAAGAGAACTAGTTCCTAGTGGGTAATGGTATTCAGTATCCAAGACGTGGGCCCTAGGTATATCCATTGCTACCGGGTTATCATTGTTTCTGGGCCCTTTTATTATGAATTTACTAATGTTTTCAAAACAGATTTAATACTACTGGATTTTCCCTTTTGTTTTCAATTGTTAACAATATTTTATCTTTCTTCTTACAGTGAAAATTTTAATCCTTAGTAACATGAATGTTTATTTGCTTTATCCTACAGTATACATGAGTAGTTTCAGAATTACAATAACAGATTACTATTAACAATCAACCTCCTAAGTAAACTTTAAGTGTGTTTCCTTTGTTGGTCCTTTGTTTTGTCTAACTTCACACCCCACTAAAGATGCACAGTCAGAATGCTGTGTTCAAAAGTTATTTCAATTAATTCTTCCATCTGTGGTCTTTACCAATTTGATATACAGTGACATTGTTTGTTTGTTTAATTCCACTTTAGGATGTGCATAAAATATTCATATTGTTCAAAAGTCACCTTATATTGTATACAGGTTAATAAAAAGTTACAACCAGAAGTCCTGCTCCCATCCTTCACCTTCTACTCTGATCCCACTCAGCCCCATAGATCTCCATTTTCATTAGTTTCTGGTCTATTCTTCCTGTATTTTTTTAGAAATTAGCAAATACATAAACACATATACATATACTCTCTCTCATCTCCCTTCTTTCTTACATAAAATGTAAACTGTACACTCTCGTGTGGAGGCACAACTCCGCCACGGTGCCCTGGCAATCTTGCACGGATCCACATAGACCAGCTGACAAAGGCTTGAGCCACGGCTGACCTGTCTTGGCAAAAGGCCTTGTGATCCTCCTGGAGCAGGAGGGGGTGGCAAGCTTGGGAGGAGCTGCCTCCAAGCCATCTCCCGCTCGCCTCCCTCTCTCCCCTGGGAGGCTGTCAGGAGGCCATTTCTTATTCCCTCCTGGGTTCTGGTGAGGCTGCCGCTCTGCTGCTCTCAGCGGACAGCTACAGACTATAAAGCCGCTTAGCGGCAGTCTACAATCAGCTCATCTACAGCAGGGTATCCCATGACTCGCCTTGCAGTCATCCGGCCCCTTTTGTCTCGGCATTGTCCTTTTCAGTGTGAGTCGAGCACCCAGGGAGCTGGCATCTTCGGCTCTTTGTATGAACGTACAAGTGGCTCATTCTGTCTTTACCGGCTACATCAGTCAGGCCTTGGCCTTGCTTTGTCTTGTGTGCTTGACAACTTGCTTGTTTCACTTAACAAAATATCCCAGAAATCTTAGCCTATCAGTTCTCACTGGCCTTCCTCATTCTTTATAACTCTACAATACACTTGGGTACCACGGTGTAGTCCCTCAGACTCCAACTGAGTCTTTCCAAGCAGCTTTCTTCTAGGCCTTTGGACTTTTAACAATTGCTTCAAGGATAGTGTTGTGAAAATGCTAAGGCCTTTCATGTCAAGAAAGCCTAAAATATAACCAAACTAATTTCTTCTTAAATGCAACACTCACCCATTTTCCTTGGCCTAGAACCTTCTGGGACAGGCAGGAAGCAGCCGCTGCCACCTTAGAAGGGTGGTAATGCACCATGTCGTAGTCAATGAGAGTCAGCTCCATCAAATATTTGGCTAGAGTGTGCTGTGCAACATCCACCTATGAAAGAACAGCCAAGGACAGTAAAAAGCACAGCTGTTACTCCTCTCCTGCAAAATTCTGGGTGAAGGCCTAGGAACGCAAATCCACTTAAGTCACTTTTCCCTCCCAGGAACAGCCAGCTCTATTCCACAATATGACAAACACAGAACGGGAGGTCTTTTCTCTGAAGAACGGATGAGACAAGCATTAGGACTTATCTAAAAGAGGCTTCCTATAAATTCATAAGCTTTCCTGTAATTGGATCAATGTTTCTAGGATGAGAGAAGCAGCAAAATAAAGTCTGCCCCAGACCCAGAGGCACTCACCTCCCCGGCTTTCGAGGCCCGCCTTAAGAAATGTAGTGGCAGAGGTCGACCCAACTCAAATTTCAGTTCTTTCAAAATTAGAGTTTCCATTTCTCGGATTTGGGAACTGGTATAAGCATTGTCTGTGATGTAAACGAAGTCTTCAATATTTGGAGAAAACATCTCCTCATACTTGGAAGCCAAAAGCAGAGCCGTAATCCCAACCAGTTGAAGCTTCTTCCGAGAGACTGGCTGAACCTAATTGAAGAGGAATGTGTCAGAAGTCACATCTAACAAGAGGACTGGGGTTCTGGGTAGAAGAAAGTGACAGGGAACCAAGTTCTGGAGAAGTGCTCGTCATCTCTGCTCGTACTCCTCTTAAGGGCACAAGAAACCTGAATGGTAATAGCAGGTACCACCACTGCTCATAGCAGCTGTCGGTTACTGAGGACCCACTGTGTGCCAGGCACGGTGCTAAGATTCTAACAACCATCTCATTGAATCCTCACAAAAATCCTCGGCAATACGCTATTTTTTCCCCACTTACACATAGATGGCCTGAGAAGAGATTCAGACACCAGTCCAAGATCACTCGACTGCTGAGCAGGGAAGAGTTACATCTGGCGACCATCTCCTAGTCGCTGCTCCCCCCACATCATCCCAGCTTGAGGGTCTGGGGCGGCCCCCACACGCCATCAACATGGTCTGAATCAAGACGAGGCCAAACAAAACAGCAGGAATTCCATGGATGCCCAGGGACGAGGAAGGGGGTGTCTCAGACGTTTCCTTCATCCTCACCAAAGTACACTCGTTATTCAGCCTGAAGAATCTTTCAAAGACGCTTCAGAGTCAGGGAAAATGACTCAGTCTAGGGTATAAGTGTTCCCTTTTTTTTTCAAACTGAAACTTTGCTTTTCTTGCTTCAATAATTTTCATTATTGAGAATCTAAATATAACTGTGCTTTCCTACCCGAGAGGACTGTATAAGGAGAACCACTGAGTCTATGATTACTTAGGATTTTGCAGTATCTTGGGGTCATTATTATAAACACAGTTATTACTGTATTGCTCGGGCAGAATTTGTACGTGACCTAAACCTCTATCATAAATGTTGACTTTAAATAAACAAATCCTCATCCACAGGGTGACCTTTTGGTAGATAACACACTAGTGGTTTATGTCTGGCATTTCTTCTCACTGGTCCGTGTTTTTGCATTAGCAGCTGATAAATATTTTGATGATCACCTCTGCATCTCAGCATAGTTTCTTACATTCCTCTTTACTTTTTTGAGACCTCGCAACCTCAGTACACTCCCCACACATACCCCTGGCTCCTTTTTAAAATATTCTGCCTCCTCCCTCGTCTACAGAGATTCACTGCCACAGCTGGCTGGAAACCGTGAAGTTCTCTAACCAAACTCCTCATTTTTCACATGAGAAAACAATACCAAAGAGTGCTGAACTACGGAAATTGCACAAGTGGGCCTGGAAAACCAGAATCCAAGGCACCACAGGCTTCACACTGACGTCCTATATTTCCTTTGATGACAGATTGTGGCAATGCAGTATTTCCCCTGAGCATTTTCAGCGGGCTGACCTAACAGAAATGTCCAGCAACGGTCAGCATGGTCAGCATCATCAGAGATTCGACACTTGGACGCCTTCCGTTTCTAGCACCTGAAGCTCTTTGGCTTCTCAGAAACTGCCTTTTAGTCTTTTCTTCAGAGGGACCACGGCTTGGCACTGCATAAACGCGATGTTCAGTGAGCCACCGGTACAAAGTCCCGGCAGCCGCACTCACCTGTAAAAACCGATCCATAATGGCGATGCACATGTACAGGGTTTCCTGCAGCAGCCTAAACTTCGAGTGGACTTGTACCAGCCAGTCCACCAGGATGGCACGCATACGTCCGTTTATATCTCTTCCATCTAAGAAATGTGGATTTATGGATTGCAGAACCTGTCGGTGGAATTAAAAGTTTAACAAGCTGACCTCGTTTCCTTCCCAGCTGTGTGGTCAATTCTGTATTGCTTGTACAACCAAACCACAAAGGCCCACTCGCCTCCAGCTGCCTTAGGTACTGGTAGATATCCTTAACGTAGTCGCTGCAGAGCTGAGGGTTCTCCCAATCTTCATTATCAATATCCTCGACTTTGCAGAGCAGGGCATCAGAGAAAGCTTGGCAGAGGTTCTCCTCCTTCATGGAGACATCCTCGGGTGTGGGAGAAGGAGCCTACGTCGACAAATGAAAACACGGCTATTAGCACCTTAGGAGGAGGCTTAGCCACAGATACGTGCAGAGCCAACCAGTTTAAAAGTATCATGGGCATTTTTGAAATATGTTAAAGCTAAAACAAATAAATTCCAGAGTCAGGTGAATAATTCAAGATGCAGTAGATGAAGGTTTCAGAGATACACTCCTCTGTTTAAACCTCTCTATTTTCACTCCAAGTGAGAACCTAAGTTGTCAGAGGGGCCTCTGGGCCCTGCGTGATCTGGCCCTCCCTTCCCCTCCTGATCCCACTCCCGCTTCTCTCCCCGTGGCTTGCTTCACTCCAGCCTCCCGGCTGGGCCTCCCTCACTGCAAGCCGGCTCCCTCTTCCCAGAATGCTCTTGTCCCTGAATCTCGTGGGTAATTCCCTCACCGTCTTCACGTTTTGCTCACATGTCACCTTCTCAGGGAGGTCTACCCTGACTCCTATTTAACACCACCACCTGCTCCTGTTCCCCTACGCATACATTTCACCTCTCTTACTGTGTTTTTCCCCGTAGAACCATAATCTTCTAATAGATTATGGAGTTTACTTAGGCACGATGTGCGTTACTCTCTGTGACCTCTGCTAGAATGAGAGCTCTATAAGCTTACCTTTATTTAAGTTGGCTTTGTCCACTGAGGCATCTCACACACCTGTATCACCCCTGACACAGCAGGTGCTCATAAATACTTACAGAGCAAAAGAAACTTAGACGCCAGAGCTGACAGCTCACTTTAGCAGCAGCCTCTTCTGCAAGTGTAATGTTTTTTTCATCAACTAATTTATTCTAAATCGAGAAATTGTTTGGCAACTACAAAGCACAAAGGCACATCCCAGCCTATGAATAAAAGAGGAGGAGGAAGGAAACACTGAGCCAGTTCACACCCAGTGTTTTATTTTCTTATGCTGACTGGGCGATTATTTATAAAAATCACGCAAATGAAACATTTATAAAGTAAGTTAAAACAAGTGTTTAATAATGAAGCATAAATAAACCATTACTTTTGAAAAGAGTAAGAGATACTTCTGAAAGTAAAACCTAACGGGGCTGCTAGGCTATAAAGAATATATATTAAAGTAATAAAATATAGAAAGAAAGAGACGACTGAATAATAAACAGACAACTTTAATTTACATTAACGTTCAGTGATTATAGTTTCCAGTCTTAGAGAACGATAAAACAATAACAATAACAAAATATATATAGCATTTCAGAACATGTCCCTCCCGCTTAAGCAAAGGTCTTAACTGAGGAAGAGCCGGGTGAGCAAGGGGTATGCAGATGGGCATACCATTTATGCGAGAATTTAAGGACCTCCAGGGACTAGAAAGAACAAGAAGAGCTACTCGAGGTACCGGGGGGAACCTAGACAAGGGTACCAGGGAGGGTAGGACCTCAGGGAAAATGAGTGAGCAAAAGGTAAGCAAGTACGAAGTCCCAGGGGGAGCCAAGAAGTAAAGGCAAGTCTGCGAACTGCACTTTGATTTGGGATGGTGGGAGGTGGCACATGAGGTGTGAGAAGATGGGCTGGAGGGGCTGGCCCGGTGGCAGCCTAGTGGTCAAGTTGGCATTCTCAGCTTCACAGGCTGGGGTTAGAGGATTCAGATCCCAGGTGTAGACCAACACACCCCCTCCTTGAGCCATGCTGTGGCAGGGTCCCACATACAAAATAGTGGAAGATTGGCAACAGATGTTAGCTCAGGGCCAATCTTCCTCACCAAAAAAAAAAAAAAAGAAGAAGATGATGAGCTGGAAAGGTGAGCAAGAGCCTGGCTAAAGAGTTTAGATTTTATCCAAAGGTAAGTGAACACACTCAAGGAATTGACCAAGAGTGACTAGAATCAGATGTGCACTTTAATAAGCACATGTCGCTTCAGTGTAAGGTTACCTTTTCCAGGGATGAGCATCATCACTCTCGCCAGGAAGGGCAGGCAGTACCAGGAAGCCTGGTTTAAGGAGGCAGAGGTTATCGCCCCGTACCCCACATGCTGCCTCAGCAGCCTGCAATGTTTACCTGGGTCTACTCAGAAGGTCACCTGACTTTAGCCATATCCAAAAGCCACCAGGATGAGATTGTTGCGGCCCTTAATTTAGAATTGCTTGAAAGCAGTCCTTTTGGACTCCAGCATGATTTAATTATGCTCAAACCTTCTCTAAGATCCCACTCATTCTGCAGGCAGTAGCCTGAGCCCCGTGGGCCAACTGTGCAGTCCTCGGTCCAGCACCTGCGCCAAGCAAAGTTAAAAACCGTATTGGCAGGGTCAGCCCGATGGTGCAGCGGTTAAATTTTCACATTCCGCTTTGACAGCCCGGGGTTCGCCGGTTCTGATCCCGGGTGCAGACATGGCACGACTTGGCAAAAGCCATGCTGTGGCAGGTGTCCCACATATAAAGTAGAGGAAGATGGGCATGGATGTTAGCTCAGGGCCAGTCTTCCTCAGCAAAAAGAGGAGGACTGGCAGCAGTTAGCTCAAGGCTGATCTTCCTCAAAAAAACAAAACAAAACAAAAAAGTATTGGCTAGTTAACGTCACAAACTTTTGAATGACAAGAGTGGTCTGAGAATAAAAACCTTCAAATTAGATTAACGAATGACATCTGTGGGTTGTCAGAGACAAGTGAAAATTCTTATCAGATGAAACAATAAAGATGTGAGATTTTGCTGAACTCGAAACGTCCTGTTTGGCAAGGAGCCAGGTGGAGTTGAGCAAAGGCTGCTGAAGTTTTCCCAGGACTGATAGTCACTGAGCTGGGTGTGTTGAGGGAACAGATGGAGATTAACATGCAAATATATAGGTATTTACACAAGCTGTGGTAAAGCACAGAGTTCCTCTATTTACCAAATTTATGATAGATAATGTCAATTAAGCGCAGCAAGGAAGGACTCCAAGAAAAACTGCCCATTCTGATCAGCCAGTTCAGGATTTGTGGCAGTGAGCGTGTCCTCGTGCACACAAAGGCACACGCGATGAGAGGAAGGGAAAATCAGTCACTGACGGGCTTCAGAGAACGCAACGGAATGGCATTTGCGGGGTAGGGAGAGTAGTAAAAATGAACTGACCTTTTATTCTATGTACTTTATGGATTTCTGCATTGTTTTGTTTTCTTAAGCCTGTGTTTCTTGTGTAATTGAAAATAAAAGGCATTCTTTTTTTTAATGTGAACAGTTGTGCTTAGTTCTTTTTTATGGATAGTTTTTGTATCAGGGGAAGTTAGGCTATAAAACATCTTTACACTTGAACAATGACTATCACTGAATTTAGTGTTTACATCAAATCTGTAAATTCTAAAAGGTCATTCGAATTTCCGGCTGTGACCCAGGACAGCTCCTAAGCTTGCCGCACCTCCGGCAACGGGGATTGTAACTCATGTTTTCACTCCTTCCATCCCCGACTGGATGGGGAGCTACCCAGGGACAGAGAAGGGGCTTCATTCAACTGGTCTCCCCAGTGTCCATCAACCAAGGGGCTAGAAGAGCCTTCTCCTTCCTTTCAAGCTGCTCTGCGTTTGCCAAACCTCATTAGTCAGCAAAAAACACAGGTTCCTCCAGTTACTGCAGGATGCTAAGCTGCGGCAAACCCCTCTTGCAGGGCCCCCTCCAGGCCTCAGGAGGGCCCTCTGCGATTCAGTTGCTCCGTCTGCTATAAAGGAAGACCCTGCTCTCCAGTTTTTCAGGGAGGCTGGTACGAATTCGGTTAGAAGTCCGGGGCTTCTGCTTTCATGAACACATGGCTTATGTTAGAAGCTTTCCAGGGCTTCCTGCTGCCAGAAACCCTGTGCTCAACTGGCATTTCCTCACCTCGGGGAAGGGCTTAAACGGGCAGCAATGACTGCAGATAGAGAGGATGGCGACAAAGCAAAGGCCAGACGGCTGACCAGAGACAGGCCAGGCGAGGGGCTCCCCGTAAATTACAGACTTAACAGTCTCTTCTGTACTCAGTTGCCCAGAGGAAAGTGTGTTTGAATTGGAAACAATTATTGTTCATTAATGCTTGATGTCTTCTAAAACGAGAAGCACTTTTCAACCACAGAAGTGATTTTTATATGAACTGAGCCACAGGTCCATAATTCTTTATCTGAAACGCAGTGGCCTCCATTTTGCCAGGGAGCTAGAGAAAAAGGAGTCAGCCGAGGAGACGTGGAGTAAAGGGAACTCAGAAAGAGTGGAGTTGTGGAGGTCACAGGAGGAAATTTCTCCTTTGTTTTGTTCATAACATTTTTTGGTTCTTTGCTTTTCTCCTTTTTTTTTTTTTTTTTAAAGATTGGCACCTGAGCTAACAACTGTTGCCAATCTTCTTTATTTGCCTTTTTCTTCTCCCCAAAGCCCCCCAGTACATAGTTGTACACTCTAGTTGTGAGTGCCTTTGGTTGTGCTATGTGGCACGCCGCCTCAGCATGGCCTGACGAGCGGTGCCATGTCCGCACCCAGCATCCGAACCAGTGAAACCCTGGGCCACCCAAGCAGGCGCATGAACTCAACCACTCGGCCATCGGGTCACCCCCTGCTTTTTTTTTTTTAATTTGCCTTTTTTCCTTCTTCTCTGATTTGAAAAGTAATATGTACCTATGGCGAAAAGTCTGAAAACTTTAAGGAAGAAAATAAAAGTCAATTTTAAGCTCAACATAATGTTCAAAAATAACTACATCAGTATTTTGAATATAAATGAACACTATTAAAAAGCAACTCTGGGGGGCTGACTCCGTGGCCAAGTGGTTAAGTTCGTGTGCTCTGCTTCGGCTGCCCAGGGTTTTGCCGGTTCGGATCCTGGGCGCGGACATGGTGCCGCTCATCAGCCCACGCTGAGGCGGTGTCCCACATGCCACAACTATAAGGACCTACAACTAAGACTATACAACTATGTACTGGGGGGGGGCTTTGGGGTGAAAAAGGAAAAATAAAATCTTTTAAAAAAAAGCAAATCCAGGGTTGCACTGCATTATATTGTGTTATAATCTGATTTTTTCACTAATATAATGTGCATTTTGATATCTTTAAATATTCTACTAAAACATGC